TCTTGGAAGCATTCGATGCAGCATTTCATTCTCTTTTTAAAGGTCATGAAATTGTTGCAAAACAATTGATGAGCTTTCAGAAAATAACCAAAATCTGCGACCTATGGTTTTTGAGACGGTCAAGTTTCACGATTTTTTAAACCTTTCATATCAATCCTCAGAAGGAGTTCCATTAACGATTCGATAGAGTAAACCTTATAGAATACAGTACTGTTTTTATCTCTTTCTCATAACTCGCCGCAATTTTTGAAAGATTTTTTAACAGAACCATCGGATTTTGGCAGGCCCACCTCAGCCACAATCGCATTAAACATCATAATTTTTCGGAATTTGAGACTACCAAGATGGTACTATGAGTTAGCATTAATTTTACAAAGCAAATGAGGGTTTACGGGTTCAAAATATCAAATTTCGAGTTTTTTGGGTACAGCCTGGGGCTCGCTGAAAAAATGAGTTATGATGATTTCTCCTCGGAAACTAAACGAATCGGAAACAAAAAAAGACCTCAGAAAGAGGAGAAAATGCTGCATCGAAGAATGCATGAGCTGCTCTTCTTTTAATGTTCTACGAGGATTTAGCTGCCCAAGTATGGAAATCGGTACCATCAGTGAAAATTCTGTAAAAATGTATGACAAGCTATGGAAAGGAGAAAAAAGTAGTTTTGCATTCTGTAGGCTTTGCTCTATAAAGATGTTACTTGCACTTTTTCGGAGGGTTGATATAAAAGTTTTAATAAATTGTGAAAATTGACTATCTTAAAAAGCATAGGTCGCAGATTTTGGTTATTTTCTGAGAGCTCATTGATGTTTTTCAACAATTTCACAACCATTGGAATGAGAATGAAATTTTGCATCGAATGCCTCCAAGAACTCTTTGACATCTTTGTTCGATCAAATGTGGCGCCCATTTGGAAAAAGCGAAATTACTTTTGAAACGACCTAATGTTTTCTGAAAGCGGAGGACAAGACGGTTCCAATGGTGACTATCTGGGCGTACAAGATGTTCATCTAAAAAAGTTATGAATTTTTCTATGATAAATCGAGTATCTTCAAAAATCACCAAGTACACCTTCACCCAGGCACTTTTTTGAATGTATCTCAGACATGCTTTATATTTTTTGAAAGCGGAGGGCGAGGCGGTTCCGATGGTTACTATTTCCTTGCACCAGCCGTTCATCTGCAGTAGTCACGGATTTTTTTTCCTAAAACTCGAAAATTCCCAGAAATCACTAGGCACATCTTTCATCAGGCATTATTTTAGACGGATCTTAAACATGTCTGAGAGCGGAGAACGAGGCGGTTCTAATGGTGACCATCTCGCCGTGAAAGATATTCATCTACAAAAGTTATGAATTTTTTAATGTCAAAAACTCGAAAATCTCCATAAATCACTACTCACACCCGTCACCAAGCATTTTTTTCAACAGACTCCTCTTTTCCTATACATTGACAATTCACGTACAAATATCTCCTTTGCTTAACCTTACCTCACTGTTGATTTTTTTCTCGGCTTTTGGTGAAGGGGGTCACCTTGGTCCCGGCTCAGGGGTGAAGAGGGGGTGAGAAAAGTCTCACACTATCGCACCTGTGCTCCGGAAACCTCCCATTTGTGCTCCGGAGACCTTTCATTTTTTGCTCCGGAGCCCTCCCATTTTGTGCTCCGGAATTCTCCCAAATCTGGCGTACCTCCAAAGCAGAGATTTGCAAGCCCGCCGGAGTAGTCCCATCTACCTTCTTGTGGCGTCACCGTGATCACAGAAAGGGATCGCCTCCTCGCCCCGCTTTCAATGGTCAGTTGGGTCCTCCGCAGCTCTGCCAGATTTCGACTGTCCTACGGAGCTAGGGCGCCGACTGTATGAGCAGCGCCTTGTATTATAAAATAGGCCGTATGAGAATAATTTCTAAATTTGAAAAGCTGTATAGCAGTGTTCCCAGAAATGCTGACCTCATTAAACAACCTTTTAAAAGTTTTTCAAGAAAAAAATGTTAAAAAAGTTTTAGTTGACTGAGTTTCCATTCTGAATCGAAATGTAGCCATTGATGGTTCCAATTGTCTCAGAAGTTCCTACCGTAATCCTACAGCAACGAAGAGATTCGCTCCATACTGTTGATCTAAACTAAAGCTGCTCTACTGAATAGTGCTTAAAGGCAGCGTCCCACCGGACCGGGCGTGCCTGGCTGATGTAAGACCCCCTAACCAAGAGACGACAGAAATTTGCAGCTCGAAAGGAGGTCTACGAAGTCTACAAACCGCCCCTCAAGTGACCCAAATCTTACGGTAGGCTCGGGCGAGTGCGAGATACATGCACGGTCGTTGCAAGGCTGTCGTCGCAAGGTCACACAGAGTCGTTGCGGGACCCTGCGCTCATGACTGTGTGCGCTCTACGCACTCTGGCCTTGCAAATCGATATTGCTATGTAGCGGCGTTCGGGCTTACCGTGATTCGGGCCACTTTCGGAGCAAATTTCAGTCTTGGTAGACCCCCTCTTTCGCTCCGAACTTCAGTCATTGCTTAGGAAAGGGGTCTACCTTAACATCGCCACAAAAACCCGGCACCCATTTTTTGCCGGGGCTGCCTTGGAAGCTAAACAGAAGATTCTTTGTGGGGAAAAAAGCTATCAACGATTGAAAAGCGTATATTTACTTTTGTATTAGTTGTTATAAGTCTTACATTTAATTTCTTATAACGATAAGTCATACAGTTCATTTTTTATAGGGGTACACAGCACTGTTCGATAGAGCAAAGCAAGCTTTACAAGGTGTTGTGCAAAAGTCCGCACCAACGACCCACCGTAAATTTGCATCCAAAATCTGAATCGTGCTGAAGGCTCAAAGAATGGCAAAAAATTCATATCTTCGCATAGACAAATTTTACGAACCTCAAACTTGGTCACAAAAGTTGCACACTGCATCAGACATTCATATGTACCATTCCTGTAATTTTCTCTACCCAGAAAATGAGAAAACGAAAAATTTTATATTTATCTAAAAAGGAAGCTATGCTGTTTTCAATCATGTAATTGTATACTACAATCCCCTGGAAAAGTATAGCAGAAAGCTTTCCTCAAGCCCTAGTTTTCGAGAAATAATGACTTTAGCATGGAACACTCGAATGAGGAGAGGTAAGTTCGGTAATGAAAACTAGGGCCCGTGGAAAAATGAAAATCTACATTGTACCTGCTGATGGTTGTAAAGAAAGTTCCAGGGTAATTGCGAAGTTTTTTTTTTGAATCGTGTAACTTCGAGCAGATTGATCCTTTTTTAGAGCTAAAAATTTCGCTCGAAGAGAATCTCGTCTACAACACATATTTGTCGTGCTGTTCAGCACCTCATAGCAGTCTACTAGCATGCGCAGAGGGAGAAAGATGACGCGAAAAGTGGCTTATTTGTGCAGGATTATCTCAGGCAGGATAACAGCTGAAGACCCCAGATGCTGTAGTTATATAGAACTCTGCTGGGGCTGTCATGAGGACCATTTATGTCTTTAAGGAGTCACCTGCAAAAAATTTTTTTCCAGAAAGTTTGAGAAATACCATTCTTCGCCCCCCAAAAATGCACTATTTTTCGCGTAAGTTACTTTGAGGTGTTTTCGTTCTGCACAGGGCGGACCAAATCTTTCATTACTGCGAACATTGTTGGGGTAATGCTTTGCATAACTTTTGCACTCATCATCCAGGCGCGGTGATCCCTGCAGAAGCGACGTCAGCTGCGAAAAAAGTTGCAGTCAGAGGCAAATTCGAGCTTGTAACTTCTGAGCACAAATCGCAAAACTCGAGTGCAGCTGCGGGTCAGAAATTGACAGGTTCCTCAATCAGATCCTCATGATTTGGACGAAATTCTTTGAATTGCACAAAAAAAACGTAGGGAAAAAATTGTGAAATTTTTGTGGTTGGAAAGATTTCTCTTCTTAAGGTGCAGATCAGACACCTCTTGGCATTGATAGAAATCAGGAGCGGTATTGAAAAGTTTGCGCTTCGCTCTACTGAACACTACAGTCGCTTCATTTTATATGATCATGTGTGTCATTGCACACACAGTTCACCTTTGGCGTCCCCATCCTGGATTCACTGGAGAAACAAGCCTTCAGGTAAGTGTTTCCAAGGTGTTCGTAGCATTTTCTTTCCTTTTTAGTTACTAGTCACCTCAAATTGAGGTAATCGATAACAATCGATAAGTCTCTTGCGTTTTTGCGATTGCAAATCCAGGATGAGGACGCCAAAGTGGACTCTGTGTGCAATGGCACACATGATCATATGGAATGAAGCGACTGTATAAAACACTTGGTATCAAAGTCCGATCGAGCGCCAAAAAATGCGTCTAAAAATGAAAGTTTTGAGAGTGCCCCGGAATTTTCTTTACAACCTAATAGTACACAATCACATAAGTGAAAACAGCATAACTTTTCATTTTTTCGTTTTCTAAGTGAAGGGGAAATACAGGAACGGTGCATACGAGTGCCTGATGTATTGCGCAATTTTTGTTAGGAAGTCGGAGACTCGTAGCATTTTTTGAACAAAGATACGAATTTTTCGATAATTTCGAGCCTTCACTACGAACACGGATTTTGGTACAAACTTACAGTGGGTCGAATTTGGTGCAAACTTTTCGCGTACCCTCTTGTAGAACTTGCTTTGCTCTATCGAATGGTGCTCTGGATCCCTATTGAAAATGTTAACTTTATGAATGATCGCTATAGGAAATTGAAATGTAACATGAATTTCACAATCTAATAGTTTATATTAACGTAGCTGGCTAGGAAGAGGAGTAATAGCACGAACTGGCTTGAAAGCTAGAAAAATTGTGAGAATTTTTCACGCAAACTCGAGGCAGTTCTTCAGAAACTGCCACTTCCTAGAAGAAACCGCGTGGATGCTAGACCACAATTATGCGTTGTGGATACCAATGTCGTTCTGCAATGGCTTGCTAATTATACAGAGTTTGAAACTAACAACTTTGTTGAGGGTGTCAATGTGTTTAAAGGAAATACTTTATTTCAATATATTTTCAGAATATCATACAAATGAAGATCATACTTTTATTGGTCGCACTATTTTGCATGACAACCAGCGTTGATACATGTTCGTCCGACGGAAGAGCTGCGTGCATGCAATTTTGCAGCAGGAGCGTTAATGGTGTAAGTTCTATAAAGTGATCCGTTGCATGGGCTAACGTAAAGTGGTCCCAAAGGTTTTAGCTCAAATTTTTCAAAGCATAAGCGTGCCAACGTCGAAGCTTTTTGAAGAGACCATTTTAGTTTGGAGAAAGGAAAAAAGATCTAGGATTGATAGCTTATACAAATCCGCTGTATATAAACCGCATCAAATTCTTCCCATATTCGCAAATAGATGAAAAAACAAACAATTTTTGGATTTCTTTCTTTCAGCATATTATTGATGTTGCATTATGGCCCGCCAGAAAATGTCAAAAAATCCTATAAAATCAACCTAAATTGTCTTTCAGTTTCAATATTTGAGTAACTGCTTGAGTTTTGATGGTTGATCAGAAAGCGTAAAAATTGGATGGACTCACTCACTGAAATTCACATATCAATCGTCAGTTAATCTAGCATCATTTGCTTGTGTAAAAGTCTGCACAGTTTCCAAAGTCGACTCAATTTTGTTATGCGCGTGAAAAGCAAAAGTGCTTCAAAACCTTCGAGCTGGTTAAGCTTTGTTGGAAGTACTCTGATGTCCTACCAAGCTAAGAGCTTAGTTATCACGTTTAACTCAGTCATGCCACATTTTAGTTTTGATTTTAACGTAGTTGATTTTCCAAAGGTGCATCTGCAACAGCCAAACCATGTAAAGCTGAATCTCATTATTTACAAAAACTTTAGTGTCATAATCTTCTGGTATCGGCCCGCAAGCACACTATAATAAGCGGGAAATCTATTCGATAAATACAAAGGATCCTTCAACATTTTCGTTGGTCAACGATAGACGACAAAGAATTCTGTCGCTTATGTTTACCTAGAGAACCATTCAAAAATAGGTCCAACTTTCTTAGCTTAAGAAATTTTTCAACAGAGCAATGTAACTGTGAAGTAGCTCCATTTTGAATTTGTTCAAATTCATAAAGAGATTATAAATTATTTAGCTTAACTAGGTATAGAAACTTGACTTTTGCACTTTGAATGGTACGCATTACAGTGAAAGGCTTTTACATTTTATCAAATTGCCAACAACAATCAGGACGGTTGTCAAGCTGAAATTTTATATTTCTAGCAAAACATCGAAATCTGACAGCGACAGCGTTTTCATTTTGAAGTGCGAGAGCTAAAATTGCTAAAGCGTTTCTCGCCAGAAGAGTTCCGTTCTGTCTTACAGTGAGTGAGCGTAGCGTTCATTGAAACAAAACCAAACCATCAAGATGTACTTCAGGACACTCTGCTGTCAGAAACAAACATTTGTTTTAACAACCTTGCATATATCGATGCATCGATCAACAGACCGTCACGTAAAGGTTTTCCAGAGATACAGCAAGAGGATGATAAAAGGATTCTGTGAAGTGCGTCAAAAGTGCGAAACCTCGGGAAGAAAGAGAATATGTAGGAAGTTACCAGTCTGCATTTGCAGATTTCCCTCTATAAAATAAATAAATAAAATGTTTGTTGTTGGTTTTCGGAAAATTTTAATAAGTAAACAGTGCTTGTTAAAGTAATCCTATATCTACCGAAAATCATTCTTTTTCTTCTCTTGATTGAACAATGTGCGTCGGCTATACTTTTTAACTTAGTTTCTGCCTGAAAATTTACTTTTTGTATCGTTTCATGGTTGATTTTAACAATGACATAGCATATAAATATTGGAAAGTTTTGCCTCTTAAGGTGCAAGCCCTTCTGAACCTGCTCCAATCACAATGACTATTGGGCAGCACTTGTCGGGGTCACACCTTGACTGGATGACTTTAAAGGCACCGTCCACCCTAAGTTGAGGGTGTTGAGCTTTGGCAGCATATAATAGTAGGGCCCCCTATCAATCCAATGCCCAAGTTGCGGCGCAAAGTGCCGTTTTGGAAGCGAGAAAATCGCTTCGGAAAAGCGAAGATGCACGAGGACCCCCATCCATGGCCCGCCCTCCCCCATCCATGCCCGCCCACTTGTGCGCGCTCATCCAATCACCGTTCCGGAAAGCCGGTCTGTGGGTTCTCCGGAACGGGGATTGTCGGGGTTCTCGCGGATTCTCGACTTCATATTCGGAATCAGGGACATGAGAAGGCCCTGGAACGACAAAAACCTGGAAGTCGAAAATATGGGCGGACGTGACTTTAAACGAGCGACTGTCCTGCGCAGCTGGTTTGGAGAGAAAACTCATTGAAATCTTTATCTTTTCAAAGGTATTAAATATAACAAAAATTTGTCTGCGGCATTTGTAGGTCGCACAAGCGATCGAGATAAAATATTAGCCACTATGGTTTGCAATATAATATAGTGGAATCGAATACAATGGTTTCCAGTCTCGGATGTGGCCCCGTAGCACAGAGCAGAAAACTTGGCTAACATTCATGATTGTGTGATCCAATAAACAAACGGACTTCCCTAGGAAAGCTGTTCATAACTTTTTTGGAAGAGCGTATTAGATCTATTGTAAGAAGAGTGTTTCCATATGTACCTCAGTGAAAAGCTACGGTGACCTAATGTACTTTTCTGCTAAGTTGAAGCCAAACTTATAATACGTTATAAGATCCGCGAAAGATGTCCAAACAAAAGAGTAGCGGACGACGTTCAGTACTTTTAATCTTAAAATCTGTAAACCACATTATGTTCCAAAGTGGAAAATTTCGACCATCCGTGATTGTACGTTATTATTTTACCCAGCTTTTTCATGTAAATTCTGCGATGCGCAAGGCGGGCTTGATATTTAAAACCCCCTCGAAATTTTGATTTAAGGAACTTTTTGTCCCATCTCTCTGATTGCCATCATGGATATTAGGCACTAGGGATTAATGCCCTCTGGCATGCACAGGTAAACGCAAGCCCATCATTTTTGCGTATCAAACAATACTTGTGTTGAGAATGTTCGACACGAGTTGTTGTCCCATACTCACTCAAAAAAAAACTGAGAAACTAAAGAAAATATTGAAAGAAGTTATGCAGAACACTATAAAGCTAAACATTCCCAAACAAATTATTTGAGCTGCATCAAAAGGAGTTTCATTAGGCACTGTGCATTCACGGCGAAGTACCTACAGGAAAAGTGGTTGGGACACGCTTTCGAAAAGGCTTGATAAAAACGCGATATCAGAATTATTTGCGTCACATGCTATAATGTTACAAAACAAAGCTCTTTTAGCCATGATAACTGATCACTCTAAGAAAGAGGGAAGGAAGCTAACAAGGAAAATCAAAAGATTTTGAGTGTTTAGTCTCCGCTTTATGTACTTTGTTGGCGAATCGTAAAGCGAAACGATTGAAGTGTTTTTTGTGTGTAGATCACACATTTATGTGCGACACATGAGTAATGCCAGAAAGAAGCTACTTTGTAAATCATTTTATACCTGGTGCATAAATTCTATCCGTTTCGCACATTTTAAGATTGAAACATTATAGATCCTTTCAGTATTATCTTTTTGATAAATTCCAAATTGAAGCAAGCTTTTGACTATCAGGTAGAATATCTACAAAAAACGCTACTGAAGAGGAAAATTCCAAAAGTTTTGCAATGTTTTCTTCAAGCCTGTCTTGCTTTAACATGGCGGCTCCCTTATAAGATGACAGGCATATTTAGTAGACATCAAAAGATAGCTGGAGATAGTTTTGATATCAAAAGGCTAGAGTATTTGAAATTTTCTTCGAGCGAACGAAAAAATCTGTTTTCTAGCCTAGCTTTTAATACACTCATATAGTACCATCTTCAGAATTTTAAATCTTTGCAAATGCTGCGAGATGTGAAGGATAATTGGTGAATGTTCTCTGCTATCTCTTGCTTTACTCTAGCACCTCATCAACTGCATCTATCCGTGTGCTGTCGCCTGTAGAAAAAAATCTATAACGAAGTATTAGTGTTCGACAGCAAATTCCACAAGCAAGGCGAGTTCACATGAAAATGTATGGAGCATGTGTCAGCTCATTACTCCCTTGTTTAGGGCTCGGCACGAGCTGGCATCAGGGGATTTTCAAAACGAAGTCCCCCTTGACCCTAAGCTCTGAACCTACCCCCTCCCCCCCCCCCCCCCCCCAGAAAAACGAAACGTCGACTCAAAAAAAACGTCGCAATCTCTCGACAAAAACGATATCCCCTTTGCTTTTTGTTTCAAAAACGATATCCAGCTTGTCCCGTGCCAGCTGGTGCCAGGCCCTGCCCTTATTTTGTGATCCATACAAGGACTTGACTTGGAAGACACATTGTGGAGTTTTTTCTCAGAGAAGGTAACTTTAAGATTGAATTTCGCTGGGATTATAAGCCCGCAATCTCGCTGTACTGATTACCGCACGGTACTGCTTAATAAGCATCATGCAAGCCTTAAAATGATGAATTGAGATAACTCCACTCCGGGACTTTTCGTTTGCATGCCAGACAACCTTCATCTTTTTTGTTAACCTTTCAGAGCTACTAGAGCTATATTGAAGATGGCAATATGTGTGGTCTAATCTGAAAATGTTGTCCGGATAATGAAAGGCCTGTGTCCTAAAAGGCAGGCGACCAAAAATCTGCGTGTTCGCCAATATGTTAAATAAGATTTTTATTGAAATTTGATATTTGTCACAAAGAGCAATGAAATTGTCCTTGATGATACGGTTATATAGTATCAAAGATAAAAATTTATAACAGCTGCTACGAACACAAGGCATCAAAAATGGGACAGAGCTTATGCAGCAACCCGATGATTACATCAAACAACGTACATCTGGAATATCTAGCCTCGAAAAGTTTTCCTTATAGCTACCCCAGAATAAGTGGCTATAACTTATACTTGTTAAGTTGGAGTAATGAAATGCATAAGAAGTCTATACCTACGAATTAAGTCAAAATTGGCATGATAAACGTCCCTGCAGCACCTTGCAGCATCTGTGATTTGTTATAAACATCGTGACAAAATCCATTTATTTTCTACTCATCCTCTTCGGTCGTCCCCTTCCCCCCCTTCCCATCCCGCCACACCTCCACAGGGAAAGCACTCGGATAGATGCAACTGATGAGGTGCTAAAGTAAAGCAAGAGATAGTAGAGAACATTCATTAATTACTCTTTAGTACTGGCAGCATTTGCAAAGATTTAAATATATGAAAATGTTACTATAAGAGTATACTAGAGCTAGGTTAAAAAACGGGTTTTTTCGTTCGCTTGAAGAAAATTTGAAAGACTCTAGCCTTGTGATGTCAAAACTATCTTCAAAAATCTAGCTATCTTTTGATGTCTACTAAATATGCCTGTCATCTTACAAGGGAGCCGCCATGTTAAAGCAAGACAGGCTTGAAGAAAACATTGCAAAACTTTTGGAATTTTCCTCTTCAGTAGCGTTTTTTGTAGATATTCTACCTGATAGTCAAAAGCTTGCTTCAATTTGGAATTTATCAAAAAGATAATACTGAAAGGATCTATAATGTTTCAATCTTAAAATGTGCGAAACGGATAGAATTTATGCACCAGGTATAAAATGATTTACAAAGTAGCTTCTTTCTGGCATTACTCATGTGTCGCACATAAATGTGTGATCTACACACAAAAAACACTTCAATCGTTTCGCTTTACGATTCGCCAACAAAGTATTAACTTCTAACGGCAATAAGTCATACACCTCATAGTCTTTGCAGGACTTCAGGGTACCAACCGATAGAGCAAAGCAAGCTCTACAAAATGGTCTGCAAAAGTTCGCACCAGCTCCGAACCACCGTAAGTTTGCAGCCAAAATGTGAGTCGTACTGAAATTCAAAAAATCGCGAAAAATTCATATCTTTGTTTAAACAAATCCTACGGATCTCCAACTTGCTCATAAAAATTGCCCACTATATCAAACACTCATATGTACCGTTGCTGTACTTTTTCCTTATCTAGAAATCGAGAAAAAGAATTTTTTTTAGTTTTTACAAAAACGAAGCTATGCTGTTTCTATTTATGTAGCTGTATACTACAAGCCCTTACAAGTATAACTGTAAATTTTCAGCTTCCCAGAAGCCCTAGTTTTCGAGAAATACCTAATTTAGCATTGAGCACCCGAGTGATAAAAGCCAAATTTGGCATTTCTCGAAAACTAGGGCTTCTGGGAAGCTGAAAATTTACAGTTATACTTGTAAGGGCTTGTAGTATACAGCTACATAAATAGAAACAGCATAGCTTCGTTTTTGTAAAAACTAAAAAAAATTCTTTTTCTTGATTTCTAGATAAGGAAAAAGTACAGCAACGGTACATATGAGTGTTTGATATAGTGGGAAATTTTTATGAGCAAGTTGGAGATCCGTAGGATTTGTTTAAACAAAGATATGAATTTTTCGCGATTTTTTGAATTTCAGTACGACTCACATTTTGGCTGCAAACTTACGGTGGTTCGGAGCTGGTGCGAACTTTTGCAGACCATTTTGTAGAGCTTGCTTTGCTCTATCGGTTGGTACCCTGAAGTCCTGCAAAGACTATGAGGTGTATGACTTATCGCCGTTAGAAGTTAAGTGTAACAAGACTTATGTCACAACCTAATACATAAAGCGGAGACTAAACACTCAAAATCTTTTGATTTTCCTTGTTAGCTTCCTTCCCTCTTTCTTAGAGTGATCAGTTATCATGGCTAAAAGAGCTTTGTTTTGTAACATTATAGCATGTGACGCAAATAATTCTGATATCGCGTTTTTATCAAGCCT